TGCGCAATCAGGCCGCGCTGCTTCATGGCGGTGGAGACGAACTCGGAGAGCTGCTTGTCCGCCAGCCCCGCGCCGATGGGCAGGTTGCCCACGTACAGCCGCCGGTCCTTGCGCGTCGCCTGCCCCATCAGCGGCGCCGAGTCGGCCTCGTTCTTCTCGACGTCGACCCACTGGAAGCCGTCCCAAAAGCGGGCCGGCTTGTTGTCGGCCGGCGCCGCCGGCTTCTTCTTGCGCACGGGCGAGGGGCTGTAGCTCCGCGACCTCCCCCCATAGCTCCGCGTGAAGTCGCCGCGCGGCGGCGAGCTGCCGCGCCGCCGGTCGTCGCGGTGGCGCGGCGGAGGCGAGCGCCGCCTGCCATGGTCGCGGTAGCGAGGAGGCGAGCGGCGGCGGTCGTCGCGGTAGCGCGGCGGCGAGCGGCGCCGGTCGTCGCGGTAGTCGCGGTAGCGTGGCGGCGAGCGGCGCCGGTCGTCGCGGCGCCGGTCGTAGCTCGGGCTCCTGCTGCGGCGGCGCGGGCTGCGGCTGCGGCTGCGACGGTCGTCTGCGCGGCCGCGCGAGCCAGCGCGGCCGCGCGAGCCGGAGCCGCGGCCGGGCGAGACCTCTGACGCCTTGGCCGCCTCTGCCGCGCTGTTGCCGTTTGCGGGCTCGCCCTCAGCGTCAGCGCCGTCTCCCTCCTTGGAGCGGTGCTTCTTGTGCTTCTTGCGCTTCTTCTTGTGCTCGCCGCCTCCCTCGTCGGCGGGATCCTCCACTGGAGGGGGCTCCGACATGTCTGCCTCTCTCTGCGCTGGGCGCAGCGTGGTGCTTGTGTGGTGTGAAGATCACAACGCGGGCTGTGAACAGGACCACACCCATAGGAATCCTAATGTACAAAGTCCTTGATACGAGGACGGTACCCGACCACCGGGAGCCGGCGAGGGCGCTGCATAGACTCGATCGAAAGATCCCACCCCGGGCTGGATCGATACGTTCATCGTACATCGATCCACCCCCCGGACTCTATCTAGACACAGGGCTGCCCGTTCGACTCGCCGCTTTCGTCCCGGCTGTGATTTTATAAACCATCTTTTGTGTGAGCTCTGAGTCTGTCGTGTGCGTGTGCGTGATCTTGGGTCCGGGGCTGTGCCTCTTTGTGTGAGCTCTGTCTCTGCTTGCCAAACATTGCCAACAAGTTACCTTTCTAGTAAGAAACGCCTGCCTATGTGTGAAGTGTGTATCACGTATCCAAGCCCCCTTTCAGCCGCATCCAATGATGCGCGACCCATCTGCTCACAGCTCTCTTGAGCTGTTTGCCGCGTGCAGCTGACCCATGCTAACGTAGCGAGGTTGCTGCGAGCGACTGGAGCGCTCTCAGCAGAGCCGGGTCAAGCACAGCCTCCGGCTGACCGAAGCGCGAGAAGGCAAAGTGCGTGGAGTACGGCGACGTCATCTCGTACAGAGCGGCCTCCCCCTCGATCGCACCCTCCGCCATTGCCGAGGTTGTGAAATGGCCTGCTTGGGGATACTTGTCGAGCAAGCCTTGTCGCGGCGAAGATGACGAGAAGGATTGCCCGATCAGTCCATGCGGGAGCGATCGCGCGGCGGCGTCGCCTCTTGCATTGAAGCTGACATCGAGGCGGTGCCTTGGGCCGGAGATCCAGTCGTAGACGTGATTGCCCTGGATACTGACAGTCCAGTTGCCGAGGGTAAACGTGGCCGTGGAGAATGTCATTGCTATGCTGAGGTCGCCACAGTGCTTGGCCCCCCTCTTTCCGATCTGGAAATGATGGCGCTTGCAGGTCCCGTTGATTACCTTCCAGCCCCAGTTGCCTGAATTCAGTTCCTCGGCCCAAAATGAGGCCTCGGTTAGGAAGCTGTTGTCGTTTCGAGAGCCAGCGGTAACGTGTGCCTCACTTATGAAGCTACCGTGGACAATGAGCTTGCCGCCGTGCAGCCGGAATGATGCATCCTCGGTCTTGACGTTGACGGACAGCCGAGGGGCAGAGAAGAAGTTGTAGTAGATGCCATTGCGGCCCCGAAAGTCAGCCCGACCACCGTGCGCAAAATGAATGTGCGGGTCCTGGCGAACGGAAGCGGGCTCCTCCGCGCCAGGTGTGCCGTCGCCGTCCGAGTCGGGGTCGGTGGCGTCGGGGATGCCGTCGCTGTCCGTGTCGACGGAGCCCTCCTCGGCGTCGGGGATGCTGTCACCGTCCGAGTCGGGGTCGGTGGCGTCGGGGATGCCGTCGCTGTCCGTGTCGACGGAGCCCTCCTCGGCGTCGGGGATGCTGTCACCGTCCGAGTCGGGGTCGGTGGCGTCGGGGATGCCGTCGCTGTCCTTGTCGACGGAGCCCTCCTCGGCGTCGGGGATGCTGTCGCCGTCCGAGTCGGGGTCGGTGGCGTCGGGGATGCCGTCGCTGTCCGTGTCGACGGAGCCCTCCTCGGCGTCGGGGATGCTGTCACCGTCCGAGTCGGGGTCGGTGGCGTCGGGGATGCCGTCGCTGTCCGTGTCGACGGAGCCCTCCTCGGCGTCGGGGATGCTGTCGCCGTCCGAGTCGGGGTCGGTGGCGTCGGGGATGCCGTCGCTGTCAGCATCGGCCACGCCCTCCTCCACGTCCGGCAAGCCATCGCTGTCTGGATCGCTGTCTGTGTCCGTGTCGGGTATGTCATCGCTATCCCGATCGGGGTCGAGACGGTCAAGGACTCCGTCACTGTCCGTGTCAGCCGTGCCTTCATCAGCATCGGGCGTGTTATCGCCATCTGAGTCAGGGTCAAGGCTGTCAATTTGGCCATCGCTGTCGCTGTCTGCGGTACCCTCACCCGTGTCAGGAGTCCCGTCGCGATCCTGGTCCGGGAGGGTGGGCGGCGGCGGCGGCAGCGGCGGCGGAGGCAGCGGCGCCGCGGCGGGCGGCAAGGGCGGCGTCGAGGGCGGCAGCGGGCAGAAGTCGGCGTTGAGCGAGAAGGCGACGGTGTACGCCCCGTACCCGTTCGCGCCCGAGCTGTACGCGACGGTCATGGTGCTGTACCCCGACCCCGTGTACGCGCCCTCCACGTCCACCGCGTCGAGGTCTCCGCCCGCGGACGTGACGTACGAGCCCGCGGCGGAGCGGTACCTCGCGCCGTCCTGCGTCAGCGTGAGCGCGCTGCCGAGGCTGACCGTGAGGCGGACCATCTTGAGGTAGGAGGCGTCCAGGTACGCGGCGTAGTAGTGCTTGGTCGCCGTCGTCGCCCCCGACCCCTCCACCACCCGCGCGACGGCTGTGCCGCCTCCGAGCACGCTCTTCCCTCCCAGCCGCACCGCCGTGAGGACCACCACCCTCGCGTCCTCGATGGCGGCCGAGAGCTGGTAGTTGCTCGGGTAGCTGGCCGAGCCGCCCGTCGTCTCGGCGGCGGGGTCGGGCACGCTGATGCACGGCATGAGAGGCGGCGGCGGCGGCAGCGGCGGCGGAGGCAGCGGCGCCGCGGCGGGCGGCAAGGGCGGCGTCGAGGGCGGCAGCGGGCAGAAGTCGGCGTTGAGCGAGAAGGCGACGGTGTACGCCCCGTACCCGTTCGCGCCCGAGCTGTACGCGACGGCCATGGTGCTGTACCCCGACCCCGTGTACGCGCCCTCCACGTCCACCGCGTCGAGGTCTCCGCCCGCGGACGTGACGTACGAGCCCGCGGCGGAGCGGTACCTCGCGCCGTCCTGCGTCAGCGTGAGCGCGCTGCCGAGGCTGACCGTGAGGCGGACCATCTTGAGGTAGGAGGCGTCCAGGTACGCGGCGTAGTAGTGCTTGGTCGCCGTCGTCGCCCCCGACCCCTCCACCACCCGCGCGACGGCTGTGCCGCCTCCGAGCACGCTCTTCCCTCCCAGCCGCACCGCCGTGAGGACCACCACCCTCGCGTCCTCGATGGCGGCCGAGAGCTGGTAGTTGCTCGGGTAGCTGGCCGAGCCGCCCGTCGTCTCGGCGGCGGGGTCGGGCACGCTGATGCACGGCATGAGAGGCGGCGGCGGCGGCAGCGGCGGCGGAGGCAGCGGCGCCGCGGCGGGCGGCAAGGGCGGCGTCGAGGGCGGCAGCGGGCAGAAGTCGGCGTTGAGCGAGAAGGCGACGGTGTACGCCCCGTACCCGTTCGCGCCCGAGCTGTACGCGACGGCCATGGTGCTGTACCCCGACCCCGTGTACGCGCCCTCCACGTCCACCGCGTCGAGGTCTCCGCCCGCGGACGTGACGTACGAGCCCGCGGCGGAGCGGTACCTCGCGCCGTCCTGCGTCAGCGTGAGCGCGCTGCCGAGGCTGACCGTGAGGCGGACCATCTTGAGGTAGGAGGCGTCCAGGAACGCGGCGTAGTAGTGCTTGGTCGCCGTCGTCGCCCCCGACCCCTCCACCACCCGCGCGACGGCTGTGCCGCCTCCGAGCACGCTCTTCCCTCCCAGCCGCACCGCAGTGAGGACCACCACCCTCGCGTCCTCGATGGCGGCCGAGAGCTGGTAGTTGCTCGGGTAGCTGGCCGAGCCGCCCGTCGTCTCGGCGGCGGGGTCGGGCACCGTCACGCACGGCAGGGGGGGCGGCGATGCCGGCAGAGGCGCCGCAGGCGGTGGCGGCAGCGGCGGCAGCGACGGCGGCGTCGAGGGCGGCAGAGGACAGAGCCCCGTGATGCTGTACGTCACGGACGCCGCCCCGTACCCAGCCGAGCCCGAGCTCACGAAAATCACCGCCTCTGTTGCGATCTATATATAGTAAGCAATCGCCTCTATCTAACTAAGGAGAGGCCGCGTAAGTAGGCGAGTATCGCGTACATTTTGCGGCTGACAAATGACGTATCGACGTATCGACAAAGACGTATCGCGTACATCTCCGCGTCTATCACCTCCCAACTCCCCGGTCCTGGGCGTGCGGTTACCGACTGCACTCCAAGTGCTCCATCCTGACCACGGTCTGACATAATGAGGTAGGTAGGTAGGATCCTGATGTGTACCTCTTTTTGGTGACCACACCATACCCTGCAACAGTCCGAACCCCGCCGATCGCGTACCTAGGTAGGTGGTCGCCCCACTGTTCAGCCTTTCGTAAATGGGGGGAGCCGCTCGTTGTTTGTCGCTCGCCCTCGTCCTCCTCCCGCCGCTCCTCGCCTCGGCGCAGCATCGCTGCCGGCTCGGCGACGTGCGGCAGCCCGACGGCAGCTTTCAGCTCGGCAGCTGCGAGGAGCTGCTCCTCTTTGGCGAGAGCGTCGGCGACGGCGGCGCGATCAAGCTCGCATCGGCTCTCGCCGGCAACACCAAGCTGCAGCTCGTCGACCTCTGGCACAATGGGGTGGGCGCCGCCGGCGCGAAGGCGCTCGGCGCCGCCATCGCCAAGAACACCGTCCTCAAGCGGCTCTACCTCAACGAGAACCCGCTGGGCGCCGAGGGCGCAAAGGGCATCGCGGCGGGCCTGGCCAAGGCGCGCGGGCTGCGCCACCTGTGGCTGACCCGCACGAACGCGGGCGACGAGGGCGCGGCTGCACTCGCCACGGCGCTCGCCGCGAACCACGTGCTGGAGGCGCTCGACATGTGGGAGTGCGGCATCAGCGGCGCCGGCGCGGAGGCCATCGCCATCGCGCTGAAGGGGAGGCACGACGGGCTGCGAACGCTCGAGCTGCGGGGCAACGCGATGGGCGACCGAGGCGCGAGGGCGTTTGCCGCGCTGCTGCCGACCAACAAGCCCCTCTCCACCCTCGACCTGCTCAACACGGGCGTGAGCGCCGAGGGACGCGCGCTGCTGCGGGAGGGGCTGAGAAAGGCTGCTTCGCTGCCGTACATGGTGCTTTTCGAGGACGCCATCGGGCCGCACCAGCAGCGGACCTCGTGGGAGGAGAAGGGGCAGAAGAATGCGCCGTGAGAGTGTGCGCCGGAGATGGTTTGTGTCGTTGATTGTGCAGCTCTGGGAGAGACAGTGGCAGCCCACAGCTCGAGAGTGTGTTGGAGAGAAGGTGTGCTTGTGGTTGTGAGTCTCCTCCGCGAGCGCGACGTCCCTCGCTCCGGCGCCAGAAGCGTGACGCCAGGCCGCAGCCAGGCGCCGACGGGCCACGGCGGTCTCCGCGGACATGCGCGCCACAGCACGCGCCCCAACCGCTCCTTCCTCCTACGGCTTTATCTGGTCGCCACCGGCCTCCGCGGAGGCGGCGATGTCCCAGCCCCAGCGCGGCCCCACCCATCGGCCAGCCCTCAGATCGATCGATCGGCGCTCAAAGTCGGCTTCAGAAGTTCAGATCCGAGACGAAGGAGAACGCTGCTGGCGCCGCCGCCGATCGATCCCAGCGGCGACGCCACAGCAGGCTTGTCCTCTGCTCTCCGATGCGCCGATTGAGATGAGAGAGATCCCGCTTCCGGATACGTATATATCTCAAATATGATAATTGATAAAACGTATATCGCGATTTTTTTCGAGCTCAGACGGCAGCGAGCGACTTTTGCCTGCAGACGTAACTCGGCCTCTGGCCGCCGACAGCGCCTAACTCGGGGTCTGGGGCGGAGCCCCAGCCTGGGGTCTGGGGCTGGCAGCCCCAGCGGGGTGCGGGGCAGAGCCCCGCGAAGAAAATTTTGCATTTTTAGCGCCAAAAACCGACCAAAAATAGGCTGTGAGCTGCTGCCAAGAGCCCCCGTCTAGAGCGCAATGTACAAATCTCGTACATAGTACACATACATCGCGATTTTTTTCGAGCTCAGACGGCAGCGAGCGACTTTTGCCTGCAGACGTAACTCGGCCTCTGGCCGCCGACAGCGCCTAACTCGGGGTCTGGGGCGGAGCCCCAGCCTGGGGTCTGGGGCTGGCAGCCCCAGCGGGGTGCGGGGCAGAGCCCCGCGAAGAAAATTTTGCATTTTTAGCGCCAAAAACCGACCAAAAATAGGCTGTGAGCTGCTGCCCAAGAGCCCCCGTCTAGAGCGCAATGTACAAATCTCGTACAATAGTACACATACACATACACACACACACACACACACACACACACACACACACACACACACACACACACACACACACACACACACACACACACGATTCATACTCATGCAGTGTGTACAGATCACTTCCGTCGCTGACGCTTCGACATGGCCGCTACTGCCTTGGCTGCTGGCTTGGCTGCTGGCGGCTTGCGCCGTGCGGACCCCTTGGCTGCCGGCTTGGCCCCCCGCCCTGCCCGCGCCGGTGCTGGCGCATGCAATGATGGGCCATCGTCATCACTGCTGTCTGGCGGGCGCGTCGGCGGTGCTCGAGGCGGTGCAGCCTTACGCTTCCCTGCACGCTGCGCGGGTGCATGTGCATGTGCGGGTGCGGGTGCGGGTGCGGGTGCGGGTGCCTCGCCGTCGCCCTCGTCCTCGTCCTCGTCCTCGGACTCGTCGCACGAGGTCTCCTCCATGTAGCCCGCACGCTCCTCCTCGAACTCCTTCTAGCGCCTCCAAGTGCTCCACGTGCAATCTCCAGCCTAGATCAAGTCCTCCTTCACACCCCCCCAACTCACCCACAAAGCCACCTCTTCCTCGGTCCAACGCAGCGCCTCAAGCCGTGCCTGCTCCTGGTTGACTGTCGCAAGCCGCTGCTCATGGAGCAGCGGCTGCTCCTCGTGCTCGTGATCTGATGAAAGCTCGGCATCGCTCAGCGCTTGCGCCATCGGGACGTCAGCCTCTGCCGCCGGAGCGGCGGCCTCGGACTGCATCGCTGGGTCTGCAGCTCCGTCGACCTCCTCGGTGGGAGGGTCGGCGGCGGGCGGTTCGGCGGCGGCGCCGTCGGCAGTGGCGTCCACTGGAGTACCGCCCGTGCGCACACCAAAGTGGATTAGGAAGGCGTTCTTGGCGGCACGTGTCCACCCCTTTGGCTTGGGGCCGCCTGCACCGCGTCGATGGAGCATTGGCAATGCCGCGCGGCGCCTACGAATGGTTCGGGAACGCCGCCCATGGGAACGGCGCTCTCGGCAGAGCTTTCGTGGCGGGGAGACGGCTGCCCGGAGGTGCCCGGAGCGCTCTCCCGGCTCACTGAGAGGGGAGATGGCGGATTTTTTTACATGGGTCGGGAGGGCAGCTCACGGCGGTCACGCAGCGCGCACCTTGAGTCGCGAGGGCGGCGGCGACGGTTACCCGACGTCGGACGGACCGTCCACAGTGGTGCCAGGTGCAGGCATGAATGGGTCTGACCTCGAAAAAAATCGCGATGTATGTCCCCATGGGGCATGGGCTCGGAAGAAGAAGGACAGAGGAGAGACGCTGGTGAGGACGGAGCAGAAACTAGCGCAGACGAGAGCAGGGCAGACCCGGGGGGACTGGGGAGCCGGAGCAGACGGCATCGGCCGCCGAGGGAACGTTGGGAAGAGGCACGAGGAGGGTAAGGTAAGGTAAGGTAAACTTCTCCACACACACGAGGTGGTGGGGCAAGGGGCGCAACCCTCGCGTCTCCACGTCTGACGACAGGAGCCCCACGGCATTCAAAGTGCAAGGCCCAGTGCGCG